TGCTGAGACACCTCAGAAACAGGTGCCCTCAGCCCTGATCTCCAAAGCTCTCTGCGTATGACCCCTCACGATAAGAAAATGAAGTACTCCCTGCTCTGGCTAATCAGATAAGAACGTCTGTCTGCAGCAGTAAGAATTAAGCTCTGAAGAGACTACTATATTTAGCTAAGATTTCTTAGGGCCTGCTCTTTTTCTTACGTAGCCAAAGAAAAGCCCAGTCCAGCACACATGTAGCAGCGCACACCTGCGTCACCCACAGATGAGAACACATTTCTCCAGCGAAAGCTACAGGTATTTAACAGCACATGAAAAAAACATTCTTCACTTCTACTTATCAGCAGAGAAAGCAAAACATGAAATTCCTTCTCGCTGTTTTGTAGTTAAAGGACATCTTCTCAGTGTTCTCATTCTTTCTCTGCATCTCTTTAATTAAAGATGACTGTCAACTGGACATCCACAATCCCTTCAGTTCCCGCACTTCCTTTACGTGCAAGGGAACCGGGAAGAGTGTTCAGTGACAAGCTCAAGTCACTCCTGACTATTCCTTGTCAGACACCGGGGCCTGAGGGATACTAGAAGGGACCACAACTTATTTTCATTCCCTTACGTAACGCCAAGCACACTGACAACGTGTAAGTATCTGAATATGGAGCTGCCTCAAGATGATGACAATCCTTGGGGTACGTACAAGTGCATGTATGTACACATTCATATTAGGAATGCCTTAAAATCAGAATTAACCATTCAGACTGGCTCCCCGCACAGGACAAGAAGCTTTCCCAAAGCAGACTGTAGCAGGTTGGATTTCTGTTTATTTGGCTTTTCAGGAAGAACAGAATTGGAAAGGCACCTTAAAAAAAAAAAAACATCTCTGCCAAAGCCATCTCTGGATAAGCTGTTCCAATATTTATTTTACCCTGCTGCTACCAAATAGCACCTCAGCTCAAGATAGAACTCATGCAACTTCAGCTTCCAGCCACAAGATTCTAATGAGATTTTCATTACCATCAGGTTTATACCCAGTGCAGTTTTACAGTGAGATTTTAAACGTTTAGATCTTACACATCTGCTGTATCCTCAGGAATGTTGTTTCAAGTGGAAGGGAACGCCTCTTCATTATCAAAACAATGCCCAGCGCAGTTCATCTTAGTGCAGAGGAAACTGAAATATCCAAAAACCCAACTGATGGCCGTTCAGCTACAGGGAATGATTTTTTAGCACACAAAAAGACAATCATAAAAGCTGCAGAGGCATTACACTGAGCAATCGACAGTCCTAACTCCAACCCCAACTGATAAATGGGCAGTTATAAAGGCTTTACTAAGGTAGCCTTCGAATCAAAATCACGAACTCATATATTCAGTTTCTATCTGGAACTGGGATCTTTGCTCTAAATTATCTGCAGCAAGTTCAAATCCAAGATGGAAAATTTCAGCACAGGGACTGGAATTTTCAGCTGAACAGAATAAAGATGAATTTATTTTCCCAGGAAACAAAGTCTAAGATGCATCAACAAATTGTTTAATTCACAATTAGGTTACTATAGCATATAATTGGTTTATATAAGTTCTTCCCAGTATAATGAAAAACCTCTCCTGTTCCATACCAGCTTTTAACCTGACTACAGCTAAAAAGATTAAAGACATTTTTCTCGTAGGCAGATATGGGTTTGCACTTTACAACATTGCATTTGGTGTCATTGACCTAAAAAGACTCTTCCTTATTCAAAGAAACGTGGAAGGGGACTTGCTAATGCAACTCATGCATTCTGCGCTGTTTCTTCTGGAAGCAAAGCTGCTGCTTAATGCATTTTACTGAAAAATGATAAAAAAATAAAGCTACCTGCAGGGAAATTAACACCTGTTGTCCTGGGTTCAGCAGTAGCAGTCATTTTTCTCCTTCTTGGTAGCTGGTGCAGTGCAGCGTTTTGACTTTCGGCCTGGGAACAGAGCTGATAACAATGATGTTTTGGTTTGGCCAAGGACTTTGTGAGCCTCATGCTCTGCCAGGGAGGAGGGGAAGCCAGGAGGAAGCAGAGACAGGACACCTGACCCAAACTGACCAAAGAGGTATTCCATACCACAGCACGTCATGCCCAAGAGGTAACTGGGAGTGACCTGGAAGGGCTGGGAGACTGCAGGGTTGGAGGAGGTATCGCTCGATGCGTGGTTGGGCTGGGGGGGGCAAGTTATCGGTCGGCTGGTGGTGAGGTGTTGTATTCTCTTCCCTTGTTATTTCCTTTATCATTATTATCATTGGTGGTAGCAGCAGTGATCTGTGTTATACCTTAGTTACTAAACTGTTCTTATCTCAACCCATGGGAGTTGAATTCTTTTGATTCTCCTCTCCGTCCCTCCGGGAGTAGGGGGAGGGAAAGAAGCGGGGGAAGTGAGTGAACCAATTGCCTGACTGGGTTTAAATCACGACACCTGTTTACAGCAGCCAAGAACTTCAACTCAGAGCTTCAATCGAGGTTGCAAACGAACAAAGTAGTATTTATGTTAGGAGCAGCAGTACCTTAAGGGGTGTGGTTTTGTAGACTCCAGACCAAGAAAACCATGTTCCTGGAATCACAGATAGCTTTTGGAAGCCTTACATTTTCATTTCTGTTATTTATTGATTAGGGATAAAGATTGATAGCAAAATCTTACTAATCCAAGGAAGGACAAACAGACTCAAAAGTGAGATTTTATTCATATTTGTTACTTATTCACAACTCAAAGTATGATAAAACCTATAAAACCAGCCTAGAATAATGTTAGTTTACATCACTAAATTCAATTCACACTTTATTAATAAAATACTGAAAAGAAAATGACAACATTGCAGGTTCAGAAAGACAGGTTGGCTACCATGACTGAAAACCCTATACTATTTTTACTGGTCACAAATGGTTGCTTGTTTAGTGCTTATTATTTAAAATTAACACAAGTTACAAAATTTCAGTCACACCCAACTTCTGTGCTCATAAAATATACCTTCTGTCATATCAAATTCCAGTCAACTGGAAAGAATCTCCTGCTGAGCTATTTCATTTCAACCTGTATTAAAAGAATACCTTGAGTATTCTCCCCCCATACACAATCATGTAGCACTGCAGTCCCAGGTGCACTTTGAGCCTTCCTGGCCAAGAAATTATCTCACAAGTTACTGTGCAAGCACACCATGAGAAGAACAAATCATCTCTCACACAGTGGTGAGAACCATCATGAGGATACAGCTTCACTTCTATCCTCTGTGGTGCACATACAGACCTCAGACTCCAGGACACAAAATAAAGCAGCTTTCAGCTCTGTATTTTAAGGCAAAGACAAACCCACCTCCAACTAAAAGGGAGATGAGTACCTTGAGCTGCCACAAATTACCAAGAGCTGTAGTTACTCACCATTATGCAGAGATTGGTCATACTTTCCATGATAGGTTTTAACACCAACATAGCGGCAGCATGTTACCACCCTACCACAAAGACAGCCACCACTGATTGAAAAATCATACGCAGATTAAACAGCAATGCAGTAGCCAATAGTTTGCATGCAAACATTGTGCTGGACTGTTACAATCTCAGGACTAAAACTGTTAATTATGTAAACAGAGGTTTGATAATGATCTTCTGTTTCTCTTTTTATTTTACATCCTTTTTGTTAACAACAGATAGGGCCTCACAGAAGAAAGGAGCTTTACCAAATGGTAGACCTGGAATGACAGACTTCAGTTACAAAGATTAAAACTAATCTGGTAAGGAAAGAACTCTTCCCCTGCTATGAATTTTTAAAAACCTCATTAGGCAAAGCAGCAGCCTGAGTCTCAGTCCGGAAGAGAGGAAAACCAAAACAACATTTTAATACTGTACTGCAGAAAACAAGAAAAGGAATTCTTAAAGAATACAGAGACATCCAAAACAGACTGTATGGCAGCAACTGCTCCTAGGGAAGGGGAAAAGGGTGTGTATATATATGGCATAGTACCTAAACACTCATTAAAACTGCTTTAACTGCCAATGTTTTATCAATGAGAGGTACTGGGAAAGAAATACATTCAAAAGAAACATTTTTGAGTACATGCTACAGGAAACATAAAAGGATCTGTCATGACTATACATGTACAAATCATCTGCAATAAAACTTATTTACAACCACTTATACCTACAGACATAAAGACTGAGTTTAGTACTTGTGAAATGTATCTGATTGCTAGATCTGGACTGTTCCAATCTTTAGGAATAACTGAGTAATATTTTACACTGCAATAACCATATGGCTTCAGTCAGGTCTATCCTCAAGTCTTTGCATCTCGGTTGATCTGTGGCATAAAACTGAAAACTTCCATTTGTAACAGGGCAATACAGCTGCTACCTGAGACCCCCCAGCGCACTACCCAACAAGCAGCCAGCAACCTAGAGCTGGCACTGTTACTAGCTTAGCCAGTCTGCTCACAAAGTGTTGATTTTGGATCAAGCGGATTTGTTCTTCAAAGCATACATTTCATCATCTGCTACATTTTTCATGATAAAAAGAAACACTATATAAAATTCTGTATGCAAAAAAACCTAAGCCCAGTATGATTAAAAATAGACTAAGGTGGGCATAATCAGTAACTAATAAAAAAAGCTAAGAGTCATATTTATGGAACTCAACATTTAGTCATATAGTTAACTGCCCTCAAAGCCTAACAACCAGACCAATTCACAAGTACCTACAGTTGCTTACATAATTAAAAGAATAAGATGTGAAGTCAAAAAAATAGATTTTATTCCTTCAAGATCAGGAAATAAAATGCTGGTTCTGTAACAGTGCAACAACTGCAGTGTATTTTGCACGCAGCACATCATTTGCTACATTTAGTGGCACTTGAGTATTACGCAGTAAATACTGGAAGTAAGACAAGTTTCTGATCTGCATAAGCATAATCACATCATTATTACCAGAGTTGCTAAGCTACAGCATTCTGAATAATACCAACTCAATAATACCAACTCAATAATACCAACTCAATTTCAGCACTTTGATCACTAGCCTTAATAGATGTCAACGTCCTGCTTTACATCTTGCTAAGAAAGCAATCACTGAAGCCAAGTATTTAATGAACTCGCTACGTGGCTTGGACCAAGTTCAATCTGACCAGTCGTTCTCATCAAACTCTGAATCGTCATCAGAATCACTGTATTCTACAGCAATGCGTCTCGAAAGGATGGTTGCCACATCATTTCCAACAGGCTCGCGCTTTGCTTCTTGCTCACGTTGCTCCTGCACCTTTTTCAGCTGAATTCCTGTAGAGACAATTATTCTCAAAGTTTTCTCCACAAGAGATTTTAAATTTCCAATTGTTATTGGTGAGGCTTTTGTATTCTAACAATACAGTCAGGAAGAAGGGGAAAAAGAGAAGCCATTTACTTAGAGCCTCCCTGAGCCAGGAAAAGAGACAAAAAGGGGAGATTGGAATCCATTCTCAGAGACTGAATACTTGTAGACTTCTAAAACTCCTATGTTAAAACTAAATATTCAAGACTTTACAGGTTCTTTTGATCTGAAGTTATGAATAACTGTATCTGGAAATACCATTATATCTACAGCTGCATACTATAAACCAAATCAGGAGCAGCCACTAGTCACTGGTTAAAAATCACTGGGCTGGTGTTGGATAACTCTGTTCTTCTGAAAAATCCATGAAGATCTAATGGCTATTTTACATAATGAACGCAGGTTTCATTTGATTATGCCCACAGAAGCCGCAGAACATATCTGATAAAGCTGTACATCTTTAGGCATTAGGAAGAGATCCAAAGTCAGGGCTGACAAATATTAGTGTGTGGTACCCGAGGTTACCTAGTCTCTCAGTGACATTCTGCCCAGCTGGGAACAGAAGCCATGAACTCAGTTCACTGGAAAACAGTGCTTTCACTGAAATAAAGAACTAGAAGTCAGTGTCCACTTACCCATTCGAATGGCAGCAAGGAGGTCACTCCGTGCATCACTTATTGGTGCCTGTGTGGGTTCATGACGTTTTGCCTCCATAGCTAGAGGAGCATGCATTGGGGAGGAAGAGAGGGATGAACCTGTAACAGGAGGGCCTGGAGGGGGAGGAGGTGGGCCAGGAGGAGGAGGAGCAGTGACAATAAGCCCACTAGAAGGAGGAGGATGAGTAGCTGCATATGCAGAGCCAGTCACCGGTCCAGAATGGGAAGGCGGCACAGGAAGTTGAAGGGGACTAACAAATGCAGTTTGTGCGGAAGGAATCATAGGAGGAGGAGGAGGAGGAGGGGGAGGACCTGTAGGATTGTAATAATCCACCATCTGAGCTGGAAGCATCCTATGTAAAACAAAACAAAAACATTTAATGAATTAAAAGTTGGGACTTACAGAATGATCACCCCTTAAACTGCTCTCATCCAACCTCAGCTAAAACAAAAATCAAAAGGAATTTAAACTGGTGAGTTAAATATGCAAGTTATTATAAACATATAAATTGACAAATCTTGGTAACGTATTGAGATTTAAGGCAAACAAAGTTAAAGGCAATATGCTTTCAGCACTCCACAAGGTAAGATTTTTATATTGATACTCCTGCTAATTAAGTATAAAGCTAAATACTTAATTTATACATCTACCCTCTGAGAATGTTAAGTACAATACTCATGATGAAGAAGGGACCAAGGCAACTGTGGACTATACATATCACTTCCATAGAACTAAGCATTAGAACAGATAGTAAAAGACACAGGCATGGAGGACAATGGAAAGTATGAATGGAATGATTTACCCAAAGGTATATCATGCATCTCATGTGCGCTTTAGTCAAGTTCATCAATTTAAATATTATGTAATTAAATTGATACGTTTGATTGATACTTCAAAAAGGAGGAACAGGGAAGAGCTGATTTCTTTGTTAAAATGTCATTAAAAGAATTCTTAAGCAGAAAAAATGGTGATTAATGTAAAAGTTATGAAGCAGGTAAAAAACCAGATATAGGAGACAGGATTTGAAAGGAAGTGACATTTAGTGATACATGTCAATGTATGACATCTGTGATACACTGACAGTGGTCATGTACCTGGGGACTAAGCACAAGTATTTCTGCTATAAACTGGAAATAACAGAGAAAATGCAGGTTGGAGCAGTCAATCATGGCATAACTGATTCATCTACAGCATGATACTATCATGAAGCAAGCAAATGCTATCCCAGGGAGCATCAAGTGAGGCTGAAAAAACCTTGGCTCGCTTAGCCTTGCACTACAGGCAGGAATAATTACAGCTTTCCTGGGGTTACAATTCTTCAGTTTAAGCTGTTGAAGCACAAGAAGACACAGGCACAGAGTGGTTCAAAAGCAGATGTTTGCTTGCTATCAGAGAGCCGGTACTCTGGCACAAGCCTTCCTTCAAAATGTTCCATATTTTGTCTATGTAGCAGACAAAACAGCTACACAAGAGTTAGATAAATTCATCTCCTGAATTATGGAGGTGTCTGTGGCAGTAGGGAGCTTGATTCTGTGTCTGAGAAGATGCCTTCCACCTCTGTCATAAGCTCCTTTAAAAAGCTATTTCAGGGATGCAACACAGACTGACGTGCAGAAAAAGCATTGCTGAATGTAACATTTCCTGAAGTTTAGAATAATATTCAGATTATGCTGTAATTATTTTCCAGCTTAAAGGAAAATTAACCACTTTTCAATGTTATGTTAGAAACCCTTAATATTTCATAAGCATATTGATTTCACCACATTCAATACACAGTTCATTACTTCTGCTTTCACTATTCCTCAAGTTCTTACACAGAAATTACACTGTTTTTTTTCCTGTCCTCTTCAGGGAAGTAAACTAATGTATGCTGTGTGTATGCATTATATATTATGGTGGTCATGAAAAACATGCATCCCTCTAGTTTTGTCAAGAATCCACTGGAATAAAACAGGAATTTTACCCATATTCTGCTGGTACCACAGGTACTGAGCTATGCTGGCCATCAGAAGGCTGGGGTGGAGGTGGAGGTGGTTGCTGAGGTCTGTTTAAAGTAGCATGTCGTACAGTGGTGGAAGGTGGTCTGTATTCATGCTCATGGCTTTGGGATGCTGCCATGTACTGTGGACCATCTCCCGTTCCATATGAAGGCATTGCTATCTGCTGATGGAGGGAATGATTCGGAGTAGCAGGATAAGAATAATCTGTAACATCAGATGCATGGGACCTAAAATTGAAGTAAATGGATGCAGAAGAACAGATTATGTGAGTGTAACAGAGTATTATCTAAAATAGCTCACAAGAGAGGCTAAAAAGAATGCAATCAGAACTATTTTTCTTGCACCAGGACTCCCTGGTTATCAAGCACCATTCCCTTGTAAGAACACAGAAAGCACAAGAACAAATGCAACAAAAAAATCCCCATGTTTATCTTAACACGACTTGGAAATAAATTAGTCTGACAAGTCAGTACAAGAGGACTGAAACAATGTTCAGCATACTGCTGCCTGCAGCATGTTCTCTTCTAATGCAGACTTTAAAAAAGGCAATAAAAATTTAGAGCTTTCTCCAGATTTTAGAATTCTTTAGCAGCCATAAGGAGGCATACTGTGTTTGTCAATGATTGTGACAGTCCATTGGTTTAACATGCTAATACTTACCAGGCCTGCCTGAAGTTAACAATGGCAATAGAAAAGGAAAGCAATACTGCAAGCACTCACAATTATGCAGAAGAATACATATTACCAAAGCAAAGAAAAACAATTTCAAAAGTTAGAAAATGCTTTTTAAGTTGTTTGCACAATTTTACTGGAAAGGCTTAGAGAAACTGAAAAAAGTAAATATTAGTTGAGCAGAGAGTTCATAAAGATACAAAGTCTAGGATGTTCTGTCAAATAAGCCCAAGAGAGGGAGCAAATGATCTCTTCATCCCATTACTGCAAATAGTTGTTTTAGTAATGAGCAATCGTGCAGCCTGGCTTTTAGTGTACACAGTAAACTGATGCGCTTATCTGTAAGACTGGAAGCAAGGTAAGCAACAAAAAGCCAGGGCTTTGAGTAAAACAAAATGACAAACCCTTTCGGCATTTTGTCCTCTTTCATGCTTCCTGCCTGCTCCGTTTTCTTTGCGTCACTCATGAACTCAATGCCCATTTTCCTTCTCTCCCACTCTTCTTTTCTTGTTCTTACTTTTCTCACATTAATTTGCTGGTTTCTGTTTGGGTTCAGCTTGTGTTTCTCTCTCTAAAGCACAGTAAGTATAACAAATACATTGTAAATCACCAGAGTCTGGACACTTGGATGTCAATGTTTTATGCACAAGTCTTCAAATTAGCAAATGAGAAGAAACATGAGCTTTCTTACTTTAGCATTAAAAAAAGACTCACAATATAGCACACACACTTCTTCAGAACCTTATTTATAAAGCACTGCTCATGTGGTACTTGCACGTATAAAAACATCTTGTACGGCATAAAAACATCTCCTAAAATGGTACTTACTTCTATCTGTATGGGGCTTCAATAGCTTAATTCCTACAGCTAAGAGTACCCCAAAGATAAAAAATGGAAAGCATTCTCTCCACCTCACTACCATTTACAAAATCAACCCTTCACGAATATAAAACAGATTTCAGGATTCAGTCAATTCACTGAAATTTACCACTCGCCATACATCATAAAATTTGAAAGGAACAAGGTATCTGCCACATCACGACATCTATATCAGACAATTATGCATCCAACAATTTTGCTTAAAAACATTCTACAGATTGCAAACATTATGGATATCTGAAAATGGTCAAATACAAGTTGACTCGGCAGGGAGATAGAAACAAATCATTTCAATATGCTCATTTAAATGCAAGAATCCTGGAAGCAGGGTGTGGAGGCTAGAAAATGCAGAACCCAATGAAAAAATCTCCATCTTGCACTTGACAGCTGAACATCAATGTCATCTTACCAGATCAGCCTATATGGAAAGCACTGCCAACCTGCAATGTTTCATTAAGACTAACAAGAGACAACATTTTGCATTAGAAACTGTAAAAAACCCAATTGGTGATTAAAGGATTTTAGATGGAGGAGTCTGAGAATATCATTGAAACAGCAGCAGCAATTTTCTTCTTTTTTGTTGCAATTACAAGATGATTGCTCTTCACAAAGACCAAACATTACATATACAAAGTTCTGAGCAGATTTTGTTGTTGTTAATTGATCTCCAGGGGACTGTGGACTAAAGGTTTCAGTCCACACTTTTGCTGCTGTGGTGCCTGCTCCCTCAACCTACCTCTTCAACAATTTGAACGCTAAATTACCACACATTTTTCCCTATATGTATTTCCTATATTTCCACACAGAGGAAATGAAATAGGTGGGAATATCCTCTAGTGAAACCAGCTTAGTGAAAAACCTCAGACTTCCATGCACACCAGGAGAAAGTAACTCCCACTGAGCTCAAAGGGAATCTCAGTCAACAAAGATGAATTCTGCTTGCTGCGTGTCTCTAAGCAGAGACTTCTACTATCTCAAGCAATAATGTTGCATCTGGCTTTGTAGCTTGCTTTTTAGACAAATGTAACATTGATAGAGCTGAACTATTCCCCCATTAAAGCATTGTTAGAGGCAAAAATATGCTCAACTGAGTAGATCACAGAAAAATACTTAAGCTATACGCAGCATAACAAACAACAAACCAGACACAAAGGAAGAGGTACTGACATTATCTGGTAGAAGCAGACTTAAATGCTTTTGTAACTACAGAAAACCCCTACAACTACTCATCAAATACAAAGCATGTAGCAAACACTTCTTTCACTACAGTGCATAACATTACGATGACAAAATACTCATCTAAAGCTGAGGAGGAAAAAATTTGTTACAGAATTTATGTTACTTATGCATTAAAATAATTTTGAGAGGAACTTTAAAACATGCGTTTGTTTTGTTTATTCTAACCACTCCCAGCCTGTAAAAACACCTAATTCTACTCAGCATTTCCGAACATACAACTGTGGTATAACAAACAGCTTTGCTGTAAACAGACCTAGTATCTGGGGACAGTGATCCCTCGGAAGATGCTCCATGGTACACACTTTGAGACAACCTGTTGTCAGGTCTAAGCTCTTTGTCATATGCCATCATATTCCACTCCTGGCGTCTGTTCCTGGCTTTTCTAACCTTTTTCACCTCACGGGTGGTGCCATCTATACGTTTTTGCTCCTAATGTTCAAACAAAAGAAATAAAGCATGCAAAGAGAGAAAAAAGGAAAGGAAAAAAGCTGGTTAAAATGCAATTAGAGTGCATGAAAATAAGACCAGATTTATAGATGAAGCCAAGTCTTCACAAAATTTCTCTGCACTGAAAATGAGTATCTCCTTATACTGTGAACCTCATTAGCAGTAAGACTTCTGCTTTGCCCTTCTGTAGGATGCACATGCTACAGAAGCGCATGTGTGATACCGACCTACTCTTTTTCCCAATACAGAAATGTGACTGATTTTAAAAGCCAACAAGTCTAACTTCTGACATCATATGCCATTGATTTAGACTGTCTTGAAGCCCTTGTAATTTCCTTCTCCTGCAAACCAATCTTATGACAACATGTCAAACACGGCTAGGGTTATTTTGGATATTTGCTAGTGCTGCAATCACCCAAGGCCTTTGGGATGTGTGGAAAAATTAGAAATTTGCCTATTTCATACTCTATGTGAAACTATTTTTGTTTAAATTCCTCTCCTTTCTTAGATCCGACTACCGAAATTCCTTCTACTTTTTCCTTATTGTCTCACATTAGCTTGTTCAAAAATGAATGACAAAAATCCTCTCTGCAATGTGTCAGTACCATTCAGGCCAGTGATCTATTATAGCCTGATAGCTTTGTGCCTGATCAGTCTGTTTAGTTTTTTTTATCTTTCTATATAATTTCAGGCTCAATGAATGTCAGCGTTTATCTACCAGTAAGATTTCCTAATAGTGGGACTCAACACTTTCACACCTCTGAAATGTTGTCCTCCCCTACTTCTGGCTAGTCAGTATGAATAGAAAAGCCATATTGGTGCTTCAGTAGAAAAATAAAAAAAGTCTGCTCAACCCAAGCTGAGAAGAGTATTTATGAGCTACTCTTTTCTCAATATTTATGAGGGTGTTGAATTTTTTTTTAATCACCCTGCATCTTAGAATACTAACTCATAAATAGGTTAATCATGTTTTAGCTATTAAGAAGTCAGTATTAGGCTTTTGGCTGCTAGAAAAATAGTTTCTCAGCAAAGAATTATATTGATATTCTGAGAACAGTCATATCCAATTCTATTTAGAGAAGAGTTTGGCAAGACGCGGATACAGAAGCATTTTATTGCGGTATCTCTACCTTCAAAGTAAGGATAATAGCTGAATCTATTACATAAGGATAATAGATGTATATAGGCATTTTACTCCAACTGTCAAACAGCACTGAGTAAATAATGCTGAAATAATGTGCCATCACGTATCACAAAAATCTATCAAACTGCTTGCTTGACCTTGTTTTGGATCTCTTGCTTTTTCGTGTCATGTCCATCTGAGGGACCTGATGATCCACATCTGCTAGCATTAAGAACGACACAGAAAAGTCTTTTTGAAGTTCACCAGCCAAATGCTCTGACAGCACTTGTTCATTCTGGCCCCTGCAGTGAGCAGGTTTTTGATGTGATTCATGTTCAGTAAAGATCATCACCTCGGTTCTTAATTACTTCTGAGAAAAATCGTTTTCCTCCCCAAACTTTTTAGAATTACAGCCTTTTTTATCCAGGTTATGCAAAGCTTGACCTCACCCTTTAATACTGGTTCTTCACACTAAAATTTCCTAATACAGGAAGAATTGGAGCAGAAGGGAGACAGATTCAGTCATGCTTCATTTTAAATACACCAAGTTTTGGTAACCACGATGGTTGAGTATATGCTTGTTAAAGGCTCGACATCTGCCTTTTTGAATTGATTGCTGAAAAATTTGTTTAATTTATGACTTTTGTCCTGTTTCATTTATTAAGATTTTGTTACTAGATCATGCTAGATTTGAGATGAAAGTACAAATAACCCTTTTGGTTAACTGCAAATAAACTTCAGGTTTCTCACAGTACAGTAACTCCATCCTTCCAGGGTCACAACTACGTATTTCTTGCCAGTCTCTAGATTAAGTAAATAGCTATCTTTTGACCAATGTATGATACTGCTTGGAAGAAAATCATTTTGATACAATTCCTGTACAATCAAGAGTGCTAACATGACTGCTTATATATAATCACCTATTTAAAAGTTTTTAAAGAGATTAGTATGGTTTTAATGAAAAAGGTAAATACATACCCATGTATAAACAAACAACATAAAATAACCACAAAGCTTGGTTTATTTGGATCAGATTTTGGTTGTTCCAGACTAGCATGTGTAAGTGTGCTAATATAATAACAAATACCCTGGAACATTTTTAACTGAAAGCAGAATTAAACCCTACTTATATTTATTTTACACTAAACATTCCATAATCATATCTCCAAAACATTTAATCCCTTCCAAAACAGTGGGGCAGGCCAATTACTAGCAGCTGACAAAACTACATATACCTCTAACTACACATAGTCTATTTGAGTAGCTTTAAGTTGTTTCAGTAACACTTTCATTACCTTGACAAACAACTGACAACTGTAGCTTTAGTACCTAGGGCAATGCCAAAAGCTGAAGACTTTCAAATTAGCTACAGTTAGAAATACTTCTTAGGAAGGTTAAGCAGTATTAAGAAGAGTTACTTCCTTTAACTGAGTGTAATAGGAGCTGTGGCAGACAAGCGGATGCTGCAGGTAAAGCCAGAAAGCAGGTACATCATTGAGCTGCTGGCAGGAAGCAATTTCAGGAAATACAAGCAGCATATCAGAGCCTTCAAACAGGGTTAAGTTAATTTGAAATTTGATATTTGCATCAAGAGTTAGCAAATGATATTTCAAGTATCTTAATAAGGAATTAGAAGCAGTAACAGAAAGGAGCTTCAGCAACTATTTGCAATACTTGCAAAAAACTGGAAGCGTGAGCCCAGAGTACGTTCCTGACTTCACAAATTTACAAGACCCTATCAATCCCAAGTCATCAAGAAATACTTTTAAGGTACAAGTCCTCCAAATTTAAAAGATTTCTACTTATTTAAATAAGCAATTGTTCCTCAGAAAATATGGGGAACAATAACACACCAAGTAGAACAACTTTCCTTTGGCTGACCAGTGATTAACAACTGGTCTACTGTGGTCATTCAGTTCAGGATATTACCAGAGTATACGAAAGTCCAAACTAACTTCATTGAACTCTGAGGCACTAATCTACTGAGAGTTTGACACTAAAGACAAAGCAACCAACCGAGACTACACCACAGATTTGAACTTAAATAAAATTGCAGTTTTCTTCAGACAAAATGTTCACCTAAAAGAGCCAAACTGGAGGAAGCCTGTACCAGATTTCTTCAGTTGAAAACAAACAATAAGTACACTATTTGAAGGCAAGAAAAGGAAGCTCATAAACCTTCTGCTGCAATAACTCCAGCATTTAAGGCAAGTTACCAAAATAATACTGGAAAACTGATGTTCTGGTGCAAGAGTACTCTTAGGCTTCACTGACCACCTATCTGTATTTGGTCAGCTGGGTAGGTCTGCATTTGGATGTTTAGTTTGCAATTTGCTACACAAGACACTTCTACTTCACCTGCACAGCCTCTCAAGAACTTTCATATGTTGTGCTTCTGTGGAGTACAGACTGCGTTAAGTGTTGCCTAAAATATAGTCTAAATGAAAGTTTTTATACAAAAAAGTTTTCTAAAAATCTCTCTAATGGTATAAAAACCCCCAACTCTCAGTACTTTTATTTTGGTTTTTTTTTCTTTTTTAGTATTAAAACAGAATAAAATAAAAAAAAAGCAGCAGCTGGTAATTTCTTTTTATCCCTCTGTAACGAAAAGATCTAAGTTTGAAAGGAAAAAGGTGGGAGGAAAAACCCAAAGGGTGCAATTATCCCTGTATATTTTTCATACAGAAATACTGACTGAAATCTAAGAAACCCCACATAAACTAGAGAATGAAAACTGCTTTATTTCAAGTCTTTTAATTGGATCAGTGACTTATCATACTGAGAATATAGTAGGATTATAACCTTTCCTATATGTTTTATTAAATTATGCAAAATAACGAAGTGACTATTTTCCAATACTGTACTTTAGACAGTAACTTCTACTGAAAGTATTTACTTAGCTTTTTCAGCCCTATTTAATATGCCAATACTGAGATACCTGTCAAAACAGACATTTCTGACTCATACTCCTAACAGGATGACCTGATTTATTTCTTGCAGAGCTTTCATAATCATTAAATCGCAACATTTTAGTTAAAGCACGTCTTCATGTTTTGTTTAACAATGTTGTAGTCAAAAGTTTTGTCTGGCAACAGGAACAAGGAATTAATATACTTTTATAAAAACAGAATAGTAAAACTTCCCAACCACACTCTACAATTTGATTTCCAAGCAGGTATCGTATATATTCGCATATATATACATACACACATGTATTATACATATGATGTCTATACACAAATATACATTAGCACATATATTCACATATTGGATAATGTATATACACATGTATATATATGATATATTCTGATAACTGCTTATATATATGCATTTATAGGTATGCCAATATATATGTGTACATATACACATGTATGTGTATATACACATGTATGAGTACTGAAAACTAAGCAGCTTTCTTCTATTTCTCCTGAGCAATCCTGTGCATCTTATCCAGACTTTTATTTAAGATGCCTTACCTCTCACTGAACCTATCGAAAAGGGCACTTGCTGTCAGATAAAATAGCAACCATTGCTTCAAACTTTGCTCCTTCACTTGTTAGAATTATCTTGAACAATCTTAAAGCCCTCAGATTTGATTAAAAAAATTATCTTCAGAAAGGCTGTGGAAGCAGCAACCGATTTCTTCATTCAAAACTAAAAGCCATTCAGAAAATCTCTACTGTATCAGAATACACATTTTGGATCAAACTGCTGAAGATACTCCAGAAGGATTTACGAGGCTTTTCTATGACTACGCCCTTTTTTGTTGGTCTTAAACTTGGAGGAAACAAAGCACATTGCTCCTAAAATTCATCTTCTCTTCTTGCTGAACCACAGAGTTATTTTGAGGTGTATTATCATCTCATCTTACTTGTAACAGGTACAGAAAAGTGAAAAGGTATGATCAAGGAATAAAAAAAAACCTGAACAAAATAAGCTCATGTTTTGCTACAGGAGTTGATGTTGCTAGATAAAGAACTATGAAAATAAAGGAAACCATAACTCCAATTCCTTCCTCCCCCCCCCCCCCCTTCCCCAAATCACAGTATCTTTTTCCAAAGCACAACAGGGCCATTTTGCTGAGTACTAATAAGCAGATGCTGGCAAATGTTTAAAGAAATATGCTGGAAAATAACTACAGTACTCTTAAAATTCAATTTGCAACTTCCTGAAATAGACAGGAGAAGTTATAAAAAAAAAAAACAAACAAACAAACAAACAACTAAACCTACAGTCACATCTAAGGAGGAATAGTCTTTCCATGCACACAAACTAAGTATGACCTAGCAATTTTTATGCCTGGACAACCATACACAAAACTGTAATACATACATTTGCTATTAGGTGTCTGCTTTTACCTTTTGTCTCCTCTTTTCTTTTCGCTTATCTTCAGTATCTTGTAACATTTTTTCTTTCCAAAGATCAAAAAAATAGGAAGGATCAGTATAGAACTTCAATCCATCTTTCTTATCATCCCTGGAAATACAGGACAAGAAAAACTAAGAAAATACGAATTAGTAATTTTCAAACCAACAAAACTCACCTTTGGCAGTCATCCACGCTCCATCTTTTTTTCATGACTGGATGCCAAGTGCATTTAATGCCACTCTTGGTAGTTACAGCTTACAATTGACGTGATTCATGCCAAGAATTTCAGAGGAAAGCAGAGGAACACACAGCCTTTTGGGCAGCATGCTCATCAGAGCTCAGCAGGAGCTCCTGCATCAGCCAGCTCACAAAAGTGAAATTCACTAGTGCTGGAGGAGAATCAATGCCAAGACAGGATGTGGAGGGGACAGAGGTGCATAAGAATGGAACTTGCCTGTCTCAAAAGAACTGGAAAGGAATATTTGGCGCAATCCGGACAGGTCTTACAATTTGAATTTAGGCACAAGGTAGGTCTGAGTACCTTTGCCTGTATGACAGGAAGCAACAGACAGTTGCTGTTCTCAGTGCAACTCTTCTGACTAGGGGAAGGACTAGCAATAGAGTGGCAACTGAGAGCTTGAATCCTACCGGACTATTCTAGGAGGATTTAAAACAGAGTTGACCTAGGCTTGCCAGCAGCAAGAGCTGCAGACACCCAGAATAAGCTACCACCATAAAAGGTATGCTATCAAATCTTAATTTGACCCCATGGCCTGGAAATCATCTAATATCCTAAACTCCTAAAAAACAACGGGTGAAAAGGGAATCAGCATGGCAGGGCACCTAGTGTGGTCCAAACAGCTTATGTTGGCAATGCCAGTCTAGCTTGCTAAACTGGTGTCCTTCAGAGTCCCTTTTGGCTGTGGGTCCTAATTTCTTCCTGGGCAGATTTTGATTGTAGCCAAGTTACGATTTCTACCAGCAAGATCAACAGTGATGGAAATTCAGCACACAGAAACGTTACAACCACTGGAGTGGAGTACAGACAACAGAGGTTGTAAAATGTCTGTCATATAGCCATAAACCCCTTACTTTTTGTGTGCTAGATCTCCTTGCTAGTAACATCTAACCTACTGAAGGGGGTACTGGGGACACTCTTACACCCCCTCCAGACTACAGTTTGTAGTTCATTTAAGCTTTGTCCAAGGCAAATACAATTAGATTCAGCAGATGTAAAAGACTTAGCAAGAAATATCATTTTAGTCCATTCCATTAACATATCCCTAATAAAACAAGAATAACAATAAAGGTCACTGACACTGTCATCCAGATGCATATTAGGACATAGCTGTGCAATACAGCTGATCGATAACAACTCTTGCTAACTGCTTGTCCATAAACAAACACCACCATTGTCTGTAGCAGTGGCAAAACCCATGTTCATCAGCTATAAATCTAGCAACTGTACCAAGTAAAAGCTCTTAGAAGTAAAATACACTGCAAATGCTCTGCTATGCTATTCCTAAAAAATCCTAATGATTTACTACAGACCGAGTGCCTGCTTTACACAGATACCTCACAATCTAGTAGCTCTCAGAAGCTGAAAGACACAATAAAAACGTTACCCACAACCTTTCAGACACGCAAATTATGATAGTTTCATGAAAAACAACAGACTTAAAGGCAACAGGAAAAGAAAACAGGAAACAAAGTCCTGCTTGCTGCTCTTTCATTCACCAGTAACCAGGAAAAGACTGTGTGTGTGCAAATATGTGTATACACTGGGATAAGAGGGAGAACAGAGGGAAAGCAAAAGCAACAAATCCAACTTTCTGGATAAACAAACCAAAGAAAGCAGTGTAGTGTATTATTAAATTTTTCTATCTTTTACATAATCAGTGGTCCTTGATCTCTCAGCAGATACTGCCATGTAACACTTATGCTGAAATAAGATGATTTTGTCAGGTACAACTCATGATTTTACGTGTGGTAATAGCAATTTTTGTTTCCATGAACGTGGGGTTTTTTGGGACGTCCCCAAAAAACATCTCAGTAACCAATATATCTTTTACCTTCTGCTGGAATTATTCTCTGCATACAACTAGGAGATAAAGGACAAAGAATAAGAACACAAACAATGAATGTTTCCATACCTATAAGGTGAAAGAATATTCAGAGGTGGTGGCTTGTCACTCTGATTATAAATATCAGCCACTGGGTTAGGAATGCTGTTCTTTGAAACTACCTGCTGATCTTGAATTGTTGAGCTCTTGAATGCTTTCTTCATGTTGATATCCTGCAATGATACTGTTTGAAACAAAGATACATTTATCAGAGGTCCATGACTAACATAAGTGGATAAACAAAGTCTGTTTTATACCAGCTATTTAAAATATTTTCAGATAAATATAGAAAAAAAACAGAAAGATTTTTCTTCAGGGAATAACTGTTTTAAGCACAAAGGCATATAAGAATTACCATAATCAACCAGATATAAGTCCCACTTGGTCCAGAACCTCACTTAAAACAATGAGAGCACCATGGACTGTCTTGGAAGATGATGCAAGAATCCTGTCACATGCAGATGTCCAATTATCTCCCCTTTTTGAGGTTTAACCTAGACTTCTTATAGCAGCAAGACTGTCTTTAAGCCTGAACACAAGATCTGGTATTCCTCTGGCACAACATGGTTTATAATTACACATGATATCCATACCGATTCAACCCTTTTCTAAGTTTATTTCAATTATGGCACCAACAACCTCCTGTGAGAGTGAGTTCTACATATTTTGCCATCTTTCAACTCCAAAAATCTTTCCATGTAATTGAACATCACTTGATCTTTAGCTTTCCTCATCTCTCTATAGAAATACCTTCTTTAGACAGTCCAGTAACATACTTCCATTTTGTCTTTTCATGTACACAATTCTAGGGGAAACAAGACTAGCCTTTTCGTTCTTTCTTTGTAAATTAAAGATTCAAGTCACTTTAATTAAATTAAGCTTTTAATCACTTTTAGCAAGACTTTCATTCTTAATCTAAGTTTTCCTAACATGCAGCAAACACTGAAAAAGATCCAGATAATGCCAATCACAACTTGAAAGCTGCAGTAAGCTCTCCACATTATCTTCCATTCTTAGGCAACCTGAAATACACGTTTCTGACTGCAGCTGAATAGAGCACTTCACTGCCTTGCCTACAATGGCACCATTTCTTGAATTGGTCCAACTTTACAACAGTGTAAGCTGTAGGAGTAGTGCCAACAAAATGCACTGGCTTGTTTTCTTTTAACTTCCATTAACATTTCATCTAATATTTCTTGTCCGTTTATGTAATTCAGAGAGTCTTGAGAATAAACTGAGAATTGCACATGATAACTGAACAGTATTGGGCAAAAAATTAATGTATTGATGACCTGCAGAACCAGAAAGGCATGAAGATTGATACAGACCCTGTAAGAGCCAGGCAGAGAAACATGTTATACTTACTCAAATAAGTGCTTCTGAACAAATTACACATTTCTAGTGTAAGTTACTTATATGCTTTTGAAAACAATCTCAACTAGTTTAAAATGTTTTTTTCAACTGTAGTTGAACAGTATAATGATGTTACTTAAATCCTTTGTTTTTACTGTGTGTTTATGAAGTGAATGACCAAACACGTAAGCAAGTGAGGATGTAACGGCATTTTAAAGGAAATACTGTTTCTAGTGACTAGAACCCCCTACAGAATTTCACTTAACTAAAGCAAACACACAGTGCCCCTTTTTAGGTGAAGAATGTTATATGACGACTGCAGAACAGATGCTACTAATACAGCGTGTGACCACCCTGCCCTGAAATAGAATTACCACCACAAACTTTTTCCAATATTCTGACTCATTTCCAGTAAAGCCTGGATTTATTCAATTCTGATTTATTACACTCAAAACCTGCAAGTTTTCCCTGTGAAAAAAGGCATCTTAATGGCTCTATTACTACAGGGGCTTCTTGAAATAACACTAAGTCAAAGACGAAGACAGTTATATGACTCCAGAATATTTTTTACCGCTCTGCTAACATGATTTTTCTCAGCTTGCCTTACTGAGACAGCAAGAAGAAATATCAGTTGAGGATTTGAAAAGACAGAGATCGTTGTGTAATTAAATACTGTGATCTTGTCAACATCACTTCTGGCTCAATGCCTTCATGCAATTACCTACCCTCTTCTACTGTTGAATCCAGCTGTGTAACTTTGACAGCAAGGCGATCAATTCTGTCTTGAAGGGAATTTGCTCTGATGTAGAAGCTGTTGGCTTCATTAAACAATTCACCAAATATATCTTCAGCATGTTTGCCTGTGTAAGAAAATAGACAGGGAAATCCCCTTGCTGAAGGCTTACAAAACACAAGACAAATGGCTTCAATATCATGAAGTTATAATAAAACACAGTAGCTGTAGGATTATGACAGCACAGTTTGTCATTCAGCAAAATTTTGGGCACAGACTTGTACAAAAATCTCAAAATATACCATAAATTCTGTCTGAAGTCTGTTCTGGATGTGCTGGTTAGTCTTCCATATAAAAACAGGGAAGCTTTCGAATTTTAATCCTTATGTAGCTGAACTACTGCCAAGTGACACACAACTGATCATTAAAACCTGCCTCTGTGATGACAATAAAGGCCTAAAGTTACAGCTATCCATGAAAGCTTCTGAAGTCAATTTTGAAGTCTAAAATCTTTCAATCCATAGTGATTAAGATTTAATTATGAGCACAAGCATTAAGACAGACTGGAACAGATAAAAACCAAAATCCTCATGCAAGGCAGCCCACTTACCTTTACCAATGCTCACTGCATACATGTTACTGTCACTGGAGTCATTCAAGAGACTAAGAGGGCACTGACCATATTTACCCATGGCCAGCCTGACTTGATATACCACAAAAAGAGGGCCTACAGCCTTTTCAGCCACTGTATTATCTCAATCACTGTGAGTAGATAGCCCAGATCAAAACTGCAGCCTCAGGCCCTGGCCTTAAAGGGCTATGGTGGACAGAAGTGCTTCGTGATAAACTTAACCCCCTCTTGATCACAGATCCCTGTGTTTGCCTAATCCCTTCCCAGATGTCCCACCTCCCAGATTACTAGGCATCCTCATCAGTAGTATGACTCTTCTTCTGCCTCAGTATAAACCTCTCTGGTTCAGAATCCCCAGTTTAACACCTCTCCTGCCCCAGAACTTCTACAAATTTCAGATTACAAGCAAATTCATTGCTCCTGCTCATTCAGCTGACAGCACCACACGTGTCTCAGTCCCTCCTACCCAGATACTGCTGCTTCCATTAAGACCTCCCCTTCCACGATTTCTACAGCCAACAGCCCCCTGGAGACAACCACACTCTTAATTCTCCATGCAAAAAGGAAAATCCTGCCTCCTACATTTAACCATGCTTTTTAAACAGAAAATATATTTTAAAACACCACTTCTGAATTAAATTCATCTTGTTATGACCTATATCAAGAGGAGTCTGAACAGCAGAAATGGAGGGGAAAATAAAACTCGTCTAATAGTTGGAACAATATGGCATATGCATTAACCATCTAAATGACAGCAACTTCCAAAAGAACGGCAATTATGGACATTTTAAATTAGGTCCTATAACCAACCTTAATATTCTACAAATGAAAGTACAGATGTAATGAAAATTTCAGCCAAGATCCCATCCTGTGAACATCTGGAGACCATGATTCAAAGTAAAAAATAGCCACACGTAGGAAGTAAACAGGATCCACCCCTTTCTTTGATCATTTACTTGGGGGGAAGAGAACACCAACACTACTGCCAAAACAGTATCTGAAAGCACTGTTTGTGAATTACAAATTAAAAAAAAAATATATATATATTAATTTGATTACTGTGCTTTGAATGGAGGACTTCACCTCAATAGATTTCTTCACTAAACATAAAATCAGCCAATATCTAACCCAAAATGTTAGATATTTTGGTGTATCCAAGCTCTGCTTCATACATCTGTGGAAGGTATTGGATAGGCAAGTTGTGCTCCCTACCTGCTCCTCATCTGTAGGAGTCTCAAAACCACAGAACAGTTAGGGTTGAAAATCATCTAATCTAATTCCCTGCCTAAAGCATGGTCAGAGCAGGTTGCACAGGACTGCGCCCAGCTGTGTTCTCAGCACTTCCAAGGACAGAGGCTCCACAACTCCTCTGGGCAATCACTGCCAGTGTCCAACCACCTTCTCACTAAAAGCATTCTCTAAGCGCTTCCCAGTAGCTGGTTGAGATTCAATTATAATCCCCATTTGATTTAGTTGCTGCAAATGAAAAGGTTATCACAAGCTATGGAATAATTAAGCTTTTAAATTCTTCAGCTAAATAAAGCAGGTATTACATTTTACAGCCACCAATATTTAGAGTTCAAAACACCAACATTTTAATGGATGTTAGTTCATGTTAACATATTGAAATCAGCCTGCTGACAGAGGACTACTGCATTCTAGGATTAAACACATCACCTCTAGATAAGTCAAGCAGACAGGTGCTTGTCAGTTATCTTTCAGGAAGCAAAATAAGTCATAAAGTTGATTTGTGGGAACATGCTACTGCTGGTATTGAATTCTCTTTCAAAAAAACAACAAAGCCACTTGCTACTCTAAACCAAGTAAAAGACAGGTTGTCAATCTCCTGTCAGTAAAAACAGTGACATGGTAAAGCAATATCAGACACACTGTTTGGATTAACACAATGCACTAGGTTTTAGAAAGAAAGTAATAAGTCTCTAGTGTTTCCTATCTTACCATCTTTTAAATTGGATTTTTAATAAGACAGAAACAAGTAGATATGAGCATGTACCTTTCAACTTAAAGAGTTGAGTTGTACGACTATAGTGACTGTACTATCAGACAGTCATTTAAAAACATGAGGTGTTTCCCCAGTATATGGGCAACCTAAATACTAATTTAAAAAACCCTAAAAGGAATTACGCAGTCTTTCCTTCTAAGGCTCCCTCCAACCACAGAAAAAGTTCAGGGGAAATACAGTCGTAACACTGCCTCACCAAATCTCCACTCTCAATAGGTTTTAATGTCAATTAATACAAGTGCCGCTTTCTAGCGCTTCCACAGGTCATCTTCATAAGGCTGTATAGATTATATATATGTCTATATATATGTCTATACATACACATGTGTGTATATATATGACATATATATTAGACTGCTCACAAAATAAATTTCCAAGCTCTGTGAGATGCTTCTGGAGATCAGCATTTCACAAATAATTAAAATAACACCTCTACCCAAGTTCTACAGTAATTACATGAAGCATCATCTTGCCACAACAGTTTATGACACCTTTAGCAAAGCCTAGACACCACATGGATTAGTTGATTTTCACATACTGCATAAAAAAGTGTGCATTAACACGTTGAATACATTACCCCAAAGGTATCTCCTGTCAGTCTTCTGTTCTAGCAGAGCATTTTGACTGCTAAGTCAAACAACGGTGTTGGCTTGTCTGAAGACCAGAAACCAAACTGTGTTGATCACTTTGGCTAGTTTCCTTTCACACAGTTGAGTCTAGAAGGTACAGCTTTCCTTTGCATTCCTTGTGCCACAGCACAAGTACATGGAAGAACACATTCAAGTTAATAGAAAGATTTACAGTGCATTAAGAGGGTACCAATTTTTCACACCGCGAAGATGTGTTGCCAAAGAAAAAAGGTAGAACAGTGTTATCACACGGCATTCAGGTGTCAGTTCTACAGGACACTGGAAGAAAGATGACACTAGGGCCACGCCAAAGGGTCCTAGGTGAGGACCGAAACATCCACAGAACTAGCTGGTGTTTTGTAAACTGAAATTCATCCAGAACATAACTATTTCATCACAACATGGAGCAGAAGACAGATCCTACCCACCCATTTGTAGCTGGATTAATTACCATTAGAATCACACTTCCTCCTTCCCCCACATCCCCTTCTTTTAAATAAGCAAAAGCAGTAGGTTGCTACTGACCGCGTCTTGATTCTTACCTGCCTCCTCATAGTACCTCCCTCCAGCACCATACCTAATGTCACAAAAGCTAACTTCCCAACTCAGTCTGATTTACCAGGGGTAAAGAGCAGAGTGACACAAAGCTGGATGCAGTAAGCTGAAGCCTGCATGCAAACTAGTGAAACAGAGCCAATGGCCCGTCCACCCAAGAAAACCCAAGAAACCCACCCAAGAAAAAAAGGCGGCCAGTTCATGGACATTGCTTTGTGTGAAGCAAAGTCTCCCAAGTCCCCACAGATCACAAGTCCTCTGTTTTACATTGTGCAGCAAAAATGTTTGCTATCACTTGCACATGGGACAAAGAAAGTAGCTCTGCACCCATGTACTGGTGGTTTATACCTGCAGAAGTAAGATTTCGGCCTGACAGGTGGTATCTGAATGAAGGGGAAAGCTATATATACGAAAACACAAAATAATTGAAGACTCACAGAAAGGAAAGAAGTGGTAATACAACTTGAAACACAGTATGTTAATGTACACACTGAAATCGAATTAAGAAAAGTTCAATAAAGGAGTTTTTAAATACTTCGCTTTTGATGACAATCAGATGTAATTTATTATTTCTTTCCCAAACTCAGGAAGAAAACCACAGTACAACAGATCCCTGTTGTAGAGAGCAGCTTTTTTTCCCCCACACTGTCTGGAGTCCTGCAGCCATCAGACCAAAATCCACTGCCAAAAGGAAGGGAGGATTTTGTGGAAGCTTTCTTCAAAACCTTTACTCCATGAATGTATTTACTGAGTAAAGCATCATGGCACTCACACGTATGAGCTGAAAATGCTCCCAGGTCTGTTCCTCCCCTCCCCCGCCCCCCCAGTAGATTATGTCCTCCCAAGTAGAGGTGAATCCCCTAGTCAAGCTTTTGCCTTATATAAAGTGCACAGTTTCATACTGAATGCTGCTCACTCTGCCTGTGCTCCAAGCCAGCTGGCTACAAACAAATCTGAATCTGAAGACATAATAGAAAAAAGCACCACTGAGAGCACATTCCCTTTGGATAAGAACTTGTTCATGTCTTCTGAAAAGAGCAGAGGCAGAAGCAAGCCAAATCTGTACGCAACAGCACAGACCTGCCAGCTTTATAATCCACGCTGAACAAACAGCACAACATTAAACACCAGTGTGACTGCAAGACAAACCTGTACTTGCTCTCTGTGCTTCAAGCTGTGGGAACACCAACAGGCTCTGATGCTGTCAGCAGGACATACCATGTTAGCTCCAGCACAGCATTTTTCTATGATCATTTCCTTGCTCCCAGTTGGCTTGAAACACAGGCAAAACAAATGGTGTCTGCAGAAGAAAACCCTCTGCAAACATGACATTTCAGACTGTGGATGAGCCTGGTGGTAGACTTCACTCATTAAATACCATATATTCATCTGTTAAAACAAAGCACACATCACTTATTTGCACAGATCTTTAACTTGACACCAGTGAAGTACTTCAGGGCTCTCTACAGAGACTTCTGATGACCAGAGAAATCCAAAAAAGGAAAATTTCAGGATATGGATTGCATAAGTACCCAGTTCCTCAGCAACAAGCCTAAGAGGATCTGAATATGCAATGTAACAGGCAGATTAGGCCCAAGACCAAATGTGGAGAAATGAAAGCTAGACATTCCTCACAAGTCAGACAAGTGAAAAGTGAATTATCCACACTTTGGCAGTCATTGTACAAAACCAAAGTGTGGTCTTATCAGACATCCTTGAACGCAACTACGGCATTAGCCGTTCTTCTCAATTTTCTGAAGATTAAGGATGTCAGTATTGAGCAACTGCCTGATAAAACTGTAAATGAAACTCAATGACAATACAAATTAGCTATAAATTAACTTTAGACACATAATTGGCAGCTACTGTGCAAGACAGATCAGAGAATCACTTAGAAACTTCTCAGAAAATATCAACTCAATGTTTAGGAGCAACCAAAACTTCTTAAATTCTTAGTGAGCTAATGACAAAACAGAAGTCCGTTTTGATTATGATCCGAAGTCCTCAACACTCCAGCTAGAAACCCCCCAACATACTCTCACTTATATAGCCAAAGCAGAAACAACATGATCAGAAACGGAATAGTTTCTATTCAAAAAGAGTATTAACAGATGAGGACACTCCAACCTGGAAAGGATATCACTCAGAGAACACGATAAAGACTTAATAAAATCACAGATGATGATGGCAATACATGAGATGAAATCACCTGTCATTATTTTTCATAATTCAAGAACCAGAAGATACTAAAAGGAAGAAACAGATCAACTGCTGTTGTGGGACATTCTTGCCAGGGGTCATGAGGATTGCACTTTTTCTTGACCAATCTGAACCCATCTAAGTAATTCTACAGATGATAGGTTCACAAATGCTCATTACACAGGATGATTCAGATGGACCTCCAGCTCAGAAATCCTACATCACTGTCTGCTGGAATGGGGAACATGATGTGTTTTTTGTGCTCTAAGCATAGGCTATTTCCTATCACCACAAATTGAAGACTGAACTTAGTGGGACCCACAGCCCAAGCTCCATGCAGCCTTTCTTACATTCTTAAACCATTTCAGTTTAAAAAGTGAAGGAAACTGATGAAGCAATAATTTCTTTTTTAGGACCAGAATTATCAGCACAAACAACAGCAGCTGATTATTAAACAGGCTCTGAAGAAATCTCTTTTTCATTCATTAAGAAATATTATTCCTCTTGCAAGCGCTCCAGGCATTCTAGAATTGCTGGTTGTGGCATCAACTGCCAAGTGCGCTGTGTAGGCTATATGGAGCTGACATAGTCTGCCTCAACAGTAGCCTATAGGTTTGTTCAGTCAATGTCATTTTGATGTATGTGCTTAATTTAATTTACATGATGTGATCACACACATATATACAGAAAAGGCTTAAGAAGTTCTAGCACATTAAGACAAACTGAAATCTCAATCAAATGTGTCATTTGATTCCAAGAGGCAGAAGAGTTTGCTCATTTCATCCTGTACAACTGAAAACCAAAAATAACTCAAGTGTCAGTCCCATTTCTTGTACCAATTTCTCTCACATTAGAAAAATTCCTGGTTTTCTATGCCATGGTCTTTTCGTTGTTTGCTTTTTTGTTGTTGGTCATGGGGTGGGGAAAAGAGGTGTTTGAGGGTTTTTTTAAACTTATAAATCTTAGAGATTCTTGTATAAAGCCATAAAATAGAAGAGCATAAAAGAAATATACTATAGTACAATATACTAGCAGTATATTGTACTATGTAAGTGGCAATGTCCTCTATCATAATTTTGTTATTTAAAACAAGCCATCTTAAAGCTTTTGTTCAGGTTTTCAGCAGGAGTCAAATACTTGCAGGAAGTTCCAGATACTTACTTAAGCTGCTAAGCTGGCGTATGATAGCAGCAAGGGTGCTATTTGTTACACATTCCAGTTCACTAGTGATTCCCTCTGGCAGAGCTCCTCGGCAGAGATGCCGTGGTTCAATGTTCCTTTTCACCAAAGGCATGGCTCACAACCTAGAATTTAAAGAAAAATATGTATTATATTTACAAAAATGAACTTAAGAACTATGAATTTGTGTAGCACACACTCAGGGTTTTTTCCTACAAAATATACTTCACCTTTCTTCTTTTAAAGCTCTTGCTTCAGCCTTCCTGCTGTAAGATACTGTACAATTCCTACTGAGGCACTGGAGTCATGCACTCAAACCAGAACATAAGAACAATGCAGATAAGCAGAGGATGCAGGCCATGTAGATAACAAACACTTTTCTCCTCAGATTTGGTGTAAGATTTACTGTATACACAGACTGCGCTTCAGTACTGGAATCAATGGACTTGAGTGCAGATTTGCATTCATAAAAACCTGGCAGTGCCCGCAGGAGTGGCAAGAGAGATCACTGGCTGGAACAAGCTGGCTTGCTGCCTTGGTAATCAGGTCACTGATGGACTGTCCATGTATACAGCCCCTGACTACATTAGACACTGACCTACCCTTGCTCTAACAGTTTTCAGTCAAAATGATAAACTCATCTAACAAATAAGGAGAAGAGCCCTGCTGAAATAGGCTGGGTGAGAATAAGGAAGAAGCTGACTTGTGAGGAAGAAGACTGTTATTCAGCACCACCTGTGGAAAACTATCTGAACAAAGTAAAAGCATGTATTGAACAGATTTTGGGAACATGCCAGATGTGGGAAGACACTGATCTGAGAAAACAAAGGTTATCAGAACTGGTTTTCTTGGGGAAATAAAAGAAATTAGGATGGGGTGACAACAAATACCAAAAGAGAACTCAAAGCATCACAAAAGGCACAACAGCACAGAAACACTATCCTGCAGAAAGGAGCTTTGAGAGCAAAGATGACCTTTGTCAGTGCACGCAACTTTTCCCCATCACCTCACACAATGCACTGGGGTTAGTCGGAAGCTGGCTGCACGCTGCCCAGCTAATTGCCTGCTGCCTTTTGAAAACACCTACCACTTCAGCAGGAACATTAATTTAAGTCAGTTTTCCTTCAGCATGTTCTTTCTTGCCTATAAAAGCTAATTTGAAGAAAAAACAGAACTGCAGTTTGAGTTTCTCATTTTCTCATCAATTCATTATGAAATGATCCAATGCGTTTCAAAGCTAGCAAGGGAGAGACAGGCCAAGACATCTCAATTCTTTAAAGACCAGGTTAAAACACAACAGTGCTTAGGGCAGGGGAAAAGCAACTTTCATTTTTGAATGCATTATTTAAATTAGCCTCATTTCAGCACAAAGTTTAATTCCAAAAGGTAAACTGAGCACTGATGAGTAAATATATGCAACAGATTAAGCAATACATTAACTGCTCCTGATCAGAGGAAGAAAAAAAGAAAAAGACAAAAAATAGGCCTACAATTTCAAGTTTGTTCTAATTTAAAACTTTGAACTATCTGAATCAAACACTAACAGACCTATTCAGCTACTAACCCATTTGTAAGTAAAAAAAGCTCTTTACTATGTGTTCTTGCCATTAAAGCACAGCCACCCTTCTATTCACTACACACAACAATTAAATGAACTTAATCTTTCTTAAAGAAAATTCATGAGAAGTAACATGTATTCTGAAAAAAAGAAATTCACCTAGCAGGAGGTTAAACAGACGTAACAAGCCTCTGAATTACAGGCACTTCAGACTCTTAACAGGCTTGGGGTAGTATGTTATCAGGTACAAAAAGGAGTTGGCAAAAGCAGTTCCAAGGCCTTCCACATTCATCTTCCACTTGAAGTCACACTTCAGCCCTGTTTACTAGAAGAAATATCCACTGTGATATTCTGTCACATATTAAGCATATTGGCATTTGGTAAATCATATTAAATTTTATAACATAGAGGATAAATAACTTTCCTTCCACCCCAAAATAAATGGAAAACATAGGGTAAGTAAGTTATTTTCAAAAACTGTATTGGTTCAGAAGATTGGGACCAATCATAGCTGATTATTTTCTTATACATTTTACCAAAGCTAGGCATGCAGCACAACCATCTGTAGGATAAATAGGTCTAGCTCCGCTCCCTGCCAGCTGCATCTGGCACAAGGATCTAGAAAGATGCTATACTACATATATATAACTGGCTGTATGTGACATGTATGAGACATTTTCATCAGGCCAGCAAAATGGGAGCAGGAGTCAAAGGGGAAAGAAGAACACTAAGAGGGCAAGATGCCGTCACTTAACATCTCACTAAATCCACGCGTGCCTCCTTGGACATGGATCAGACACAACGTCTGGCTGGACTGAACTCTGACCGGCGCACAAATGGACACTGATCAAACCCTACAGAAATTAGCAACAGCACAGCTAGCCCTACTCGATTTCCACACACATTCTGAAAGGACAGGACATCAGAAGTTTGAATTAACTTGGATTAGACCATTAAAAATTCACATTAGGCATGCTCCCCCAGTGTTCTCATCTCCCTTTTTCTTCCATTTTTTCCCCCATCATAAAAAGTTGCGTAACTGCCTTTTGTTTTAAAATTAGAAGGCACTTATTCCAGTAGTTATTGCCGCAGAGGCAAGAGGGTTACAGAAACAGATAACTGATGCATTTCTGCTTTTCTTTCCATAATTCCCCTGAAGTTGTGAGAGTATCTCTCCATGTCAGCTCAGACCACCCTCCTCTGGACAACAGCTGTTAAACTGCATGCAAGAAGTTAGACATTGCCTTGGCAAGTCAGGTTTGAAAGAGCAACAAAAAAAGTCAAGTAGAAAGCAGATGTGCAGTCACAAACATGAAAAAGACAAACACAATGTACGATCTTCCCAAAAAACAGCAGAGCATGGCTATTACAACAGACAAGTTGGGTTTTCAAGTATTTGAGAAGCTGGCAAAACCTCAAGGCACCAGCTGTTCCCCAAACCTGCATTTTGCCCTTTTACATCCCCAAAAAAGGGAGATCTAAAAGGGCAAAATGCACTAAAACTATGAACCCGAATTTCATGGGTAAGTTCTCTGTATATTCACTAATACCACAAAACAAATGCCTCTATAGTTGTGAATATTTCCTCATTACATTTTCTCAAAGACATTGTTCAATCCTTTCTTGAAACTCTTAAGAGGCTTCTTCTCATATCCTCCAGTAAAATATAACAAAGCTGACAATTTTTACCATGACAAAGAGCTTTTCATACATCCAACCTAAATTCTCCCTGAACATACTCCATTATTTTCAGGGAGCTTTATCACTTTTCATTGACGAATCCCAATGGATTTCTATGGAGAATTAAAAACAAGACAGACAGAATATGCAGCTTCTCATGAGAAATGCACCATGTGGGATTCCACCCAAAATTAAGCATCTAAATTTGCATGATTACATATGTGAGCTCCATGCCCGTGTCCCCCTTGAGAGCTCAGCAGAAACAAAACACCTAAATCACTGTATATATTGTCAAATAGAAACAAGAATGATACCATGAGCTCAAATATGCGGCACACTCTGCTATGCAACCCATCAAAATGTAGGTGTTTGAACTCGGAACTGATATTCACCTCTTCAAAACCAGAGAAACACTATCAGTTTCCTCACCTCTAGCCCCACAATCAAGTTACACTACTTTCTACTCACACCCTCTCCATGCCTAGGGCATTTTGACTGTCTGCAGACAGTTACATTTTTCCATACCTCATGTCCTAATACTCAGTTCAAAATTTCATCTCCGAATGGCACCCAATTAGGCAATACTACACATTTTCCTGTTCTAGAATTGTAAGTACAGACAGTCTGCAAACACCCCACCTTCAAAATATATGTTATGTGCTAGACAGGAAGAGACGGGAAAGCGGGAAGATGAAAGATCCCAAACACTGATTCAGAGATGCTCTCCATCCCCATTTTTTTTCCAGGGAGTCAGTACAATCAGATTTCCCTGTCCTCCAAAGGACCCTCATCCTTTACTAAAATACACACAAAAAGACTACATGGTTCTTTAATATTAAAGTTATTTATATATTCACTAATATCACAAAACAAACGCCAATTCATTATACAGCCTCAAAAGGCTGGTTCTTTTTGGACGTGTAGAAGGTTGGCTGGGGACAAGTAGGTCCATAAAATATATTTAGGCTGTAAATAAACAAAACCAAAGAGCAACCCATCCCCTGTTGTCCTTTCTCTCATCATTGCTTAATGTCTTGATATCCTTATCTCAAAGGAAGGAAAAGAATACACATGCCTTTAATGCATATCCTTTTCTGTTTTATCTTTGTCCTAAATGACAAAGATTCACAGACCTGATGCCTGTGAACCTTTCTTACTTATCTGTCAATGTCATTTTACTACTTTATCAGTAATGACAAGTTAAAAACATGAACTGAAACTAGCATATATAACCTGGAAATCATTATTTTAAGTTCATGATTCATCTAATGTCATTCATGTGTACTTTTTAAAGCTTGGGGGTTTTTAAACTGGCTTCATTCAAACTAAATCAAAGATCTATATACTGCAAAAGTACACAAAATATTCAGCCATCAGTTATTGCATAACACTGCTTCAATGCCCCAGGATTATTTGATATTTCACAGAATCATAGAATAGTTAGGGTTGGAAAGGACCTTAAGATCAACTAGTTCCAATCCCCCTACCATGGGCAGGGACACCTCACACCAAACTATGTCACCCAAGGCTGTGTCCAACCTGGCCTTGAACACCACCAGGGATGGAGCATTCACAACCTGCCTGGGAAACCCATTTTCCTTGCCTGTCTTACCAACTTATGTATTAGCAACAACGAACTGGCACTGAAATCCCTAAAGCAATTATCTTTCTTTATTAGACAGAGCTCTCATTTTATTGTCTTTTTCAATGAGCTATTTCTGGAGGTTCACCAACTTGGAGGTTGTTTCCTATTTTTATTCGGTTGTGGTTTTGTCTATGCAGAGCTCTTCAGGGCAGATTTTATGGTCCAATGATATTATGAAGGAAACCAAGACATTAAGTGATGACAAGAGAAAGGACAACAGGGGAGGGAATGGTGGCTGGTTT